TGCCTTATGCCAAATGGGTACATCATGTCCTGTAACAGGGCAGGAAAATTCTTGGGGAGCTCGTAGATGGGTCTTTTGTATCAGTTCTTCCAGACAGGGTTTAGGGAACAGGGCTTTGCCATCTTCCATCGATTCCAAGATGCACATTTTTGGATCTCTGAAATCAGGACTTAACTCCCAAACAATGGCATCATATCCTTACTGTCGGCCTGAAGTGAAAGCAGGTGTTCCGGAAGATGACCACACTGATTCTGCCAGCCATTGGGGCCACCCAGCCTCAAACTGTTTGACGTTAGATTCTCTGCTCGAGGTTCTTTTGTTTTTGTTGTTGTTGTTGTTTTGTTTATTCACTTGTTTTGAGGTTCTTTTGGATCCCACTGATTGTGCAAATGCAGAAAGCAAACCTGCACGAGTACCATGGACCTGGGACTCCTATTCTCAGTGGAGGATTTTTCCATCCCTCTACCCAGTGTCAAGGTTGAGACACACACGTTCCCTTGCCTCCCCTTCCTGCCTGGTGGCTTTATTTCCCACTTACCCTTTCAGTGAGGGTGTCCCAGCTTTGTATGTGGAATCTCCTATTGGATTTCCCATCCTGGGCTTTTTTTCCTTTATTTTGGGGGTCATAAAATAATGATGCATTTACATTTGATGAAAATATGCTTTCTTACAGTCGATGAAAAAAGTTTCTGTTACAAATGCTATATATGATATTTGAAGTGATCCAGCATGCGAATAGAATTAGAGGTAGGATTTTAAAGAAATGGTTTCATGGGATCACAATCTCATGCCTCATCCTAAACCACTCCCCATCTGTGCTGCTCACTGGGCATCCCTGCCCCCGCCAGCACGTCAGGTTGTTGACTGCCTGGCACCCATCATGGCTCCCCATGACTCTTGGGGTGAAGGCAGAGCTCTTTAATACGGCAAAACCCTGCTGGTCCTGTCTTCTCTCCAGCCCCATCCACGCCATACTCTATTCTCTCCCCTCCAGCTTTCTTCCTGTCTGAGCAATTTCAGCTCCCAGGCTCCCTCCCAGCACAGAGCCCTGGCATGACAGCTCTGTGGGGGGCACTACCTTTTCCCTGGTTTGCTTAGCTGATCTCAGCTCCAGCATCACCACCTCAGGGATGCCTTCCCTGACTAGATCATCCCCCACTGCAGGTTCCTGCAGTGCTGCATCCTTCTCTCTCATTGCATAGGTCCCAGCTGCAGTTCTACCTTTGCAGAATGTTCTTGATGAATGTTGGAATCTGTTACTGGACTGCAAACTTTGTGAGGGCAGGAAACATGCCTGTTTTCACTCAACGTTGTATCCCTAGGGCCAGGCTGAATGCCTGGCAGTAGATAGGTGCTTAGAAATTCTTTGTGAATGCATAGATGGATGTGTCTTGGTGTAACCTGCCCCACAGCAGAGAGTAAACTCTTGGAGACTGGGGCAGTTAGGGGAAGCAGAAGGAACAACGGACATCATCAGAAAGTCTCCACTTTTGCCACTATTGTGACCTTGGGCAAATCACATCCTCTCTGTTTCCTCAGCTCCAAATTGGGAATAACACCTACCCCACCTATCTGACGGGGGGTTTGTGAGTCTGTGAAGGCACTTTGAAATGATACGATCTGTTCCCTCACCCCCAAGCTTCCAGCACAGCACTGGGCCCACACTCCACACTCTTTCTCTGTGAGCTAGTTGGCTGGCCCCTCCTCGGGGAAAAGGGAGACGAGATGATCCAGTCCTCAGGGAGGGGTGCACACAGCTTGAGGTCAGGAAGGAAGCACTGAGCCTTGGGCTCCCCAATCTTAATGTCCACCCTCTTCAGACCTTAGGGACATGAGAAAAGGAACCTGCTTGTTGAGTCCTTTCTGGCCTTCATTCCCAACACGAGATTGGAGCCCTTAGCCAGAGGCGGGAAGTGGAGAAGGGCGAGATGCTGCCCCTTCCCTCCTATTCTGCAGGTGATCTTCAGACAGGGACACAGCTGGATGGGAATGATAAACTGCGTGCTTCCTAGGACACACTTCTTGGGACAATTGCCTGAAGGTATAAGGCTTCCACCTGACTTGGCAAAATACATGAAAATCCTTACTTTATTTACCTCTGGGATCTGAACTTTAATATTAACGTGGATTTTTACAGTAAAGGCTATTTCTTCCCATATACTTCATCTTAGAGTTGGGCATCCTGGGTTTCTGTTGCATCCTTATCAACTAGCTATGAATGAACCTCAGTCATTTTCCCTTTCGAGGTCAATTTCCTCTTCAGTTACATGGAAATGACAGTAACAACAATCATAATACCACCTACCTTCCTGTCTCACAGGTTCCTTTAAGGATCAAAGCCATAAATGCTTGGTAAGTGAAAAGTCAATACAAATGAAAAGTAATCTTTTCTCTGTGCATTCAGAATCCCTCCTTCAGCAG